CATGGCCCTGAGAACGGTTAGTGCTTGCCTCAGTGTCAGACTCTGCTGTTTAAGGATTGCTATACTTGGCCAGGCCGCCGTGTCCCTCTGTCCCAAGCAGGCGGTGAGGCCTCCTGCAGGGCCTGAGCTCACTCCGTCTTGGCTGTCGTCCCTTTCCTGATCCCACTGCAGGTACACACCCGCAGCGCATGGTCCATTCACAGCAACACTGCCGAGCAGGCTCTAAGAAGGATTTGGAATGGATTGTCGGATGCTCTTCCTGCTCCCGAGCAGCAGCGGTAGGGGCAGTAGGGACGGGGACGGTGAACTTGGGCACCGCCGGGCCGACCCGGGTCCGCCTGTCTTTCCTGGGAATGGTGCGGAGTGGAAGGAATGCCCAGCTACTCACCAGGAGACCTGGGGCGCAGCCTGGATTCTACCCTTAGCCGGCTCCTAACAAACCCCCTCGTTTCACCGCCGCGCCCCCCCCCCCTTCCAAATAGTCCTAGTAACTCCCACGGAACTCGCTACCCGGGCTTTGTGAGACAGCGAGCGTGGAGGTGCCCTAGACATGTGATGGATTCTTGCCTTTAGGGCGTGCGGGGAGGCGGGGTGGGGTGGGGTGCACATACCCCTCCCCCTCCCAGCCGTCAGCCGTGGACGTGGATGTGGACACGGATGCCGCCGGCCCGGCCACGCTGCGGCAGTGGTGACGCTAACAGCACGTCGGCCCTGCTTGCGCGTCCTGCATCTTGCTAGAGACTTTGCCGTGATTTTCATAATCACGAGCATCTCCCAGTTAACCCTCCTCCGTCTCACGGAGAAGAACAGAGAAACTGCTGGGCGGCCCGTACGCGCCCGTGCCGTCAGGCCCGTCTGGTTCTAAAGTCCACGGCGGCACCCCCGTGCTGTCTTCGTGGCCCGGCTGCTTTGGCTGGCTCGCAGCCTGCCAGCACTTTGCAGCCACCCAGACAGCGGCTTTCCTACCTCCCCGGTGGTTGGGGTGCCCCCCGGAGTGCCAGGTTCTCCTTGGAGTCTGTCTGTGCCTCGTCAGCCCGAGGAGAACCCTGCGCGAAACATCTGTGCGCAACTTGTCTGAAGCAGAGGAGGTGTTCCCGTGACCTTTCATTTACCTTGGGGTTGACCTTGCCTTTGAAGACCATCATTTTGGGGGGGCATCCCAGAAAACACGGTTCCCTCAGGGTCCAATATCTTCTGCTCTTTTCGTAAGATGTTTATAATGGGTGTGCTATCCTATCATTTGTTATCATCAGCAAATGCTTGCTGTAACAAGTGCTTATGTGCAGTCAGCTGGAGTGAATGCTCTACTGATCAAGTTAACAGATAAGCTCCTCACCCTTGTAGAAACTACAGCTTAATACACTCTCAGGCTTGACAAATGACTAGTATTTATTTTCCAACTGCTTTATCTCTGTACAACGATGTGCCGAATTACTATAATTGGTGTAGAAAGAACTGTTCCCCTAACTTATGTAAACAGTCTGGTTTTGAAAACTTAACAGTTGTGGCTTAGCAAGTTCAACAGACTTTGCCTTCCCTGAGACAGAGGAACCCCCTGCCTGCTCTGTTCGCCACTGTATACTCAGCTCTGGGCGCACTTTCTTTTACTTGTTTTAAAAATTTTTTGTTACTTTTTTTTTTTTTTAAAAAACAATTAATACATATACATGGTAAGATCCAAACAATACAAACGAATATACAGTGCAAAGTAAGCTTCCTATTGGAGGTCAGCCTTCAGTTCCCCAGCCTGCCTCCAGAATTAATCACTGTTATCTAGATCTTGTGTACCCTTTCTGAGCAATTCTATGCATTTACAAGTTTATAAATATGTATATTTATATATCTATTTTTAATACAAATGGTAGCATTCTATGCACAGTGTTCTGAAGCTTGCTTTTTTCACTTATGTAATGGAGATTGTTCCAAATTCATCCAGTGGGTCAGTCTAATTCTTTAAAAGCTCCTAGCACAGTTCCTTGCATACAGTAGCAGTCCAAAGAGTGTTGGAATGAGTGAGTGAATGCATGCACGTATGCACACGTGAATGAAAGAATCTAATTCAACTGGTAGCTACAAAGTTCTCTCAGGGTCTGCTCTGAGCAAAGCAGGATGTTCTAGATTCTAGAATGTGTTGTGTCATCACCCCTCCACCCCACCCTCATCTTTTCCAAGGGATCCAGGCTGTTCTTGACCTTGTCCACCAACAGATGCCACAGCAGTCTTAGCAAACGAGGTGCTGGGAGCCTTGAGCCCCTCTGGAGGAAAGAGCAAACTGAAAGAGCCAGGTCCCAAGAATAGGGTTTTTTTTCTTTTTTTTCTTGAGGTCCCTATTTAAAATGCCTTTCTCTCATTGGAAAATGACATCGCTTTATTAGAGAAAATAAAAAACGTGCGTATTTATAATCCCATCCTACTTTTGCGGTTGTTTTCATTTTTGTATATCAGTTTCCAGTCCTTTCCTACTGCTTTTCCAACTGGACTCTTGTTCAGTTCACAGATAAATATGATATGATTATGATAATAACAGAAGTGGAACATTTCTGCATGACAGGTGTGATTCTCACATTCATTCTCTTATGTAGGCACAAAACAATCCTATGAGGTGGATACTGCTATTCTTTTGGAGGTTCAGAGTGGCTGAGTAATTTCCCTAGGCCACAGAGCTCATAAGGGGCAAAGCTGGGATTCATTCAGGTGTGACTAGCACTACTCTGCCTCTGATTTTGTACAGTACTTTTTTTTTTTTTTTAAGATTTTATTTATTCATGAGAGACAGACAGAGGCAGAGGCTGACGAAGAAGCTGGGAGCCTGATGCAGGACCCCGGGATCATGACCTGAGCTGAAGGCAGACGCTCAACCAACTGAGCCACCCAGGCACCCAGTACCCTACTTTTTTCTACTTAACATTATATCTGGACATTTTCCATGTCTCTACAAAGCCCCTAAATCCTCATTTTCAATCATTGTAATCATTTTCAAATCAGCATAATTTACTTACCCCTTTCCGGTTTAATCCCACTTCATGAGTGCAGGGAAGAGTCCTGCGCATACAGCTTTTTGCCTCTGCAGAATTATTTCCTCAGGGGGTTATCCCTATTTTTCTTGACTAAACTCCCTGGCAATGCAATAACATGAAGAAAACCGGTGACTAGGACTCAGAAGCCCTGGCTTCCAATGTGAGCTCTGTAACTAAGTTGTTTGATCTTTCTTGGCCTCCGTACTCCCATCTGTCAAATGGGGGGGAGGGTGTTGGCTTAAAACTCGGGGGATCCTGAGCCTGGCGAGATTTTATCTTCTTGTTCCTTATGTTTATGCCAAAAGAGAGGAGACCTCCCTAAAGGCAAGAACTCTTAATCGGATTTCTTCTCCCGTTTAATTGTTTTATTTATTGACTTTTGGTCTAGCCATATACAGAAATAGAAATGATCCCTCTCTACCCCCTCCCCCCAAGGCAGTATCGCTTTCATTTGCATTTGTTTACATTGTAATCTGCATCAGATTTATGCTTTTTCAGATGGAGTTCTGGCTCTTTGATAAGTACCTATTTCTTTTGGCTTTTGTCAGGCCTTTCCAAGTTTGAACTGTCTGTTTACTGGATAATTTAAAAGCATCTTAAGATGCATCTTTTCATTAGGGACCTGGGTCCAGATGAATTCTTGAGCTAGTTCGTTGTATCATGCACTGGCCTTTTAAAATGCTTTTATTTTTTATAATATTTATAATTGCAAATTGAAGTTGAGTTTTTAGTGAAAAAAATCAATATATATGTAGCTGATTGTACGGAAAATGGGGCAAAAGGATATGGTAAAGCCATTTAAGTCAGTTCTAAGTGGGAAAAGCCCCCCATCCTCGTGAGTGCTTAAGTGACAGAGGACCAGCAGAACCATCTCACTTCATGGGTGGGTATGGTATTTGTAGGTACATAGTGATAGTCTAAAATCTACTAGATCTTGCTTCTACAACTTAGTCCCACAGCTTTTGCCTCTACTTTCTGTGAAGATGGGGATAGTTGATCATGCCTTTGATGTCTAAAGAGTGGTTAAGCTCCTCTCTGGTAGGATGTTCATTCATTAAACTGGGAAGACCTGTTTCTCACCTCCCTTTTTCAGTGATAGCCCAGGGCACACTGTATACAATTCCTATTTTCCTCTGGGGTTTTCTGGTCCTTACACCAATTTGCTTGGAATTTCTCCCTAGGACCCACTGTGCATAGACAGGGCCGAATATTTTTTGTATCTGAGAAGGAGGGTAGGTTTTGCTTCCTGAGAAGCTCTTTGCCTGAGATGGAGGCTTCACATTTCTACCCTAGGCTGGTTCTGGAATGTGATTTCCAAACAGGGAAAGGGCATGACAGACAAGGTGGGGAGTGGGGAGGGGACAGCAAGGAAAGGGTAGAAAGTTGTGGAGGGCAGACAGGAGAATTTGGACAGGTAGAGGGTTTAGAGCCTGGAGATGGCACTTGACTTTTCGGGCGGGTGAGGGTGGTGGCGGCGATGGGCTTACACACCAGGAGCAGTCCTTTAGGAGGAAGCGTGGTGGGTGCCAGCAAGCTCAGAAATGACCCTCCTGAGGGTCAGGGGCTCAGCTGCCCGAGATGGGAGCTGTGGGGGTCCTTGGAGGGAGGTCAGACGAACACTCCAGAGCACTGCAGATTCACTAGCAGGAAGAGCGGCTTGCAGCAGAAGGCAGTAGGTCCTCATGGCTGGGGGAGTAGGGGCAGGACCAGCAGAAATCTAGGGCTTTGTTGAGCTCGGGGCTGAGACATTTAAAATGAGTGGAATCAAAAGAAGGGAAAACACAAGAAGCAGGAGGGGTGGACATATGTTTGATTCACTTATCCTGCTACATGACTTGCCCTGAGATGGGCCATAGGCCTGGGGGGGGGGCGTGGAAGACTGGAGTGGAAGCTGATGTTGCTTTGTAAGGAAGGTCTCACTGACCTCTGACCTCAATTCCTATGCCATTGCTTGTGGAAAAGGCTACCTCAGCGTGAGTCTACATGGGTGCCAAGAAGAAAAATATGATCTTGAAAGATCTTGATATTGACCAGAATGGTGTTGATGGTAGCTGTGCCGTGCCTGGAAGAGCTCACAAGTGCAATGTGACATTCTCGGCCCAGCAGCTTAAGGCACGCCCTGGCAAAGTGGACATGTTCCCAGGGGAGCATCCAGCATGGTGTAGGGCTCTCCAGGCCGTTTCACCCAAGGACGTACTGCAGGAACCTGATAATTCGTCAAGAAAAGAGGTGTTCCCTGATCAGTATTATCACACCTTTCCAAGGCTATTCTATCAAAAAGACCGTCACTCTAGACCTCCTCTGTGTGGCCTCAGAGGGCACAATAGAATTAGATTCATCAAAAGGAAAATCCTCCTGAACGTGAAGTGGGCTGCCTGGAGGAGGACTATTCCCAATGAGAGGTGGAGGGGGTACTACGCGATGACCAAGTCTGCTTCCTGCCAACCTGGAGTGGTTCCTGCGCCCCCCACCCCGTTTCCTCCCTTCCACATGTTCTTCCACTCAGACCTCTCCCTGCTCCAGGCCAGGGAGCCAGCTCTGACCCCCAGGAGCTCCACTGTAACATTCAGGGATTGGCCTCTGGCCACTCTTGCTGGGCGGGCCTGGCTCTGACCTCCGCTTCAGCTCTGGTCATTGGGCTGCTTCTGTCTTGTTCAGGAGGCCAAAGTTTGCCCTTTATAACCTAACTCCGGTAACTCATTACTGCTTGATATTGTGCCTGGTTTCCTCTGAACACTTTTGAGCAGCAGAGGTAGTGAGGGAAGGGAAAGAAGGGGTAAATATGTCAGGGAAAAGCAAACAATCATCCTCTGAGGTTGTGAGGAAGGAGGCTGGGTGGGGGAGGGCAGGGAGAGCTGACAGCAGATGTTCGAGAACCTTCTAAACAACAATGTCAATTTTGAAGCAGAGGTTAGTAGGACTCAGAGACGCTAGCTAGCCTGTCCTCCTTCAAAGTTGAAGTTCTTATCCGACGGTCTCACGTTTCCCTGTATTTTGAAGGAATAGTTGACCGCTGCAAGTCAGGAAGGCAAAGGGGAGGTTGGAATCTTGTTTGGAGCTGTTGCTATAGGGAAAGGAAAGGGTCAGCCTGGGGAATTGGGAAAGGATTGCCAAGCTGCCTGAGACCAGACTTAGGTTAGAAACCAGAGTTGGCCAGCCTTGGAGCAAGAAGCCACAGCCAGATTCCAGGTCAGGAACTGGCAAGGCAAATTTAGTAGAAGGTCAAGGGCCAAGGGAGAGGAGACGTCTGAGGAGAGTACAGTTGTCAGAGTCATTGTCCTCCCCACACTGTGCCTGTGTCCAGACGGGGATGGGGGTAGGTGGATAAAGGAGCCCCGGAGAAGCTCATGGGAGAGCATGTTAGGGGTGTGGAGTTGCCTTAAAGCGGAGGGCAGGCTTAGTAGGGGGCATTTTAGAGGTGGAGAAATTCCTCTGATGAGGTTCAAGTGATGCGCATTTGGTTGGGCTGCTAAAGGGAAGTGGGGGTGAAGGTCTTCGAGAGGGTGAGGTCAGTGGACCTGCTGCCAGTGTGTTGACCGAGTTATTAGAAAGGCAGGGATGATGGCAGGGGGCCAGAGCCTGGTACACCGTGGTGCTCACTGTGCAGTGGCCTGAACTCAGTAAGTTCAGGGGGAGGATGGTGAGGCACATGGAATGGTGTCGTGGCAGCTAGTGAATGTTGGGTAATGTATGCTTCAAAGGAGAGCAGAAAGGGAAGAGATGGAACTAAGTCGGAATACAAGGCGTGTTCGCACTTATCTAGACCTCAACGAGAGGGGCTCAGGTGGTGGGGCCAGAGTGTCCAGGGAGCCCCAGCCACCCCAGGACAGGGACCAGCTTCCCGGGCTGAGCTATGTATGTTAATGAACAGTAGCCCAAGACTTTCCTACCACAAGTGCCCAGTTACTCCAGGGCCCTGGGAAGTTCAAAACAACGGGGAGAGGGGGTCCTGGCATCACTAACAAATGTCTACTGATGATGCTTCATCAGTATGTGTATCTAATAGCAAATCTTGGATTATGGTTATTTCCAAATGCAGAACCACAGCATGAGCTTCTCTGTGCCCTTTCAGCACCACGCACGAGGTTCTATCTTTCAGGCTGGAGAGGTACAGACCCTCACATTCATTTCTGTACCCTCAGCACCTGGCATAATGCCTGGCATGGAGTTGTTAGCAATTACTTAATAAATACTTGCTGAAGGAACTGCCACGACCTACAGGATCATAAAGGGAATGCCTCATTCCTCTTTCCAAAGGAGAAAGCTAAAACTCAGGGATGGGGAGCAATTTGCCCAAGGTCACACTCAGTGGGAGAGGAGATTTAGAACCCAAGTCTCTGGACTCCAGCCTAGGACTTGACACCACGCAACAGGTCCTCTCTCTCCTGCTAGACTGTAAGCTTAGAGAGGAAAGAGACTGTGCCTTTCTGACCTCTCCAGCCCTAAGTGCCTTGGCACTCCTTACTCAGCTCTGCCCCATCCTCATGAACGTCTGCTTATTTAGCTGGCACACGACAAGAAGCTGGGAGGATAGATCGTACACTAGATGACAGGAGCAGGACTCATAAAGGTTTAGACAAGAAGGAAAGGGAGTGGGAGATTAAGAAGAGCTTTAACTAGAAAACGGTACAAGTTTGCACTCAGGATAAAAAAGACTTTACAAGCAGGAGTAGGAAAGACTTAGAAGAACGGTAGTTCATGCTGAACACGCAGAGGCTCAGGATCAATGAAATAATTTGGCTGTGACAATGCTGTTCCTAGCGAGTGGGGCCCAAACTGAGAGAGGGGCTAATTCAGTTGTAGGCTGCCACGGGGTGACCTCTGTGTGCGTCACATTTTGGAAAAGGAAATTGATCAATTAGAGGGTCACTTGGGTGACTAGTGGTACCATATCCGTGGTCATGTGACAGGTGGCCTCAAAGGGAAGTCTAGCTTCATTGTGGACCAGACAAAACCTTCTGGATCTGGCCCTAATTGTCTATTTCCCCATCTCCTTTACACTTGAACACCATGCCCACCAGGCTATTCTGTATCTCCATATCTTTGCCCACACTGTTCCCTCCATCTGGAATATTCTGTCTGTCCTGGGCCCCTTCCCCAACAGTCCACTTGGTGAGCACCTGTGAAATTTTCAAAATCCTTCTCAAATTTACTGCCTTGTAAACCGTCCCAACCCAAACCCCGGGCAATCCACTCTTTTCTCTGTACTTTCATGCTCCCCTATACATAGTTTTATATTATAAATTTCATCTTCATTGTATTTTGTTTATATGCCTGTTTCTCCCATTGGACAAAAGTTTCTTGAAAGCACAGATCCTGTGACTCCTACCGTAGCACATTGCCCTAGCATGACCCATGGGTGTTCATACAACTTAAACAAATGAACCAAAACTTGAAGCATGCTTTCAGATATTTGGAGGACTGTCCTGTAGATGACTGAAGAGATTTTAATACATGCACCTCCAGAGAGCCAACAACAAGGATAAATGGGGGCATGTGGTCAGGAGATGGATTTGGGCTCACTGGGAGAAACTGCCTTTGTATTGGTCAAGACTCACATTCTATCAACAGAAGCCTACTTCGAAGCAGCTTGAGCAAAGAGAACTTTTTTGGTACACAGATTCAACAAACCGGTCGGACTGCCAACCTACAAAAACGTCAGGGACAAAGCTGGGTTTAAGGAACACCTACAGCGATGTACCTGGAAGCCATCAGGACTCTGAGCCCCTTGCTTTTGCTTCTCTCTCTGTCAGCTTCCTTCTTCCTCACTGCAGGCTGGCCTCCTCCGCCAGGTAGGAAGCATGGCTGCTGAAAGCTGAGACCTCACAGCTCACTGCTTTCCAGCACAGAGAGGCTGCTTTTCTCACCCAGTTCCAGTTAAAAAACATTTTGGTAAAGAACTCCCATTGGCACAGCTTGGGTGTGATGCTGACCTCTGTGGTCAGAGAGATGGGTACCACAAAGAGCCTGGCTTGAGTCAGCTGCCAGCCAACAGGCCAGGGATGGGGTCATGTAGGAATAAAGGCAGTTGCCATTGGGACCACACTGCGAGAGTGGGGGAAGAGCCATTTCCAAAACCAGTGGGAATGTACAGAGTGAAGCTTCTAGGACAGAGGGGTGGTACTCCTTTGCTCTAACTTCCTAAAGATCGTAGCCACCCAGCTGCAGGCACTTTCCGGATGCTTCCAAGGATAAAGGAGAGAAAAAAAAATGGATAAATATTGGTCACTCCCAGTATTTAGAACCAGGTTTAGTCAGTGCTTACAATCTTACTCTTAGAAATTGTTGCATGGTTGAATTGTTTTCTGCGCATTAGGACTCTGCCATTTCCCCCCAAGGTGCTGAGAAATGGAGGCTGGGTGGAGTAGGAGGTCCAATTATTCTAGAAGTGGTTTTTGAGCCCTTCATTTATGCTAGATAATGGAAGCGAACGCAAGACACATCCAGAGGAGCTCCGTGGAGATGTGTGCGCTTGTCTAGGTCGTGGACCAACCGCAGTCACCGGCAAGGCGAGGGTCAGCCGGGGCTGCCACCAGGAAGAAGGGGGCCGGTCCCCGGCTGCGGTGGCGCCCACCGTGTAGAGCCCAGGCTCCAAGCGGCCTGACGTCCCTGGCCTTCGCCTGGCCTGCGCCACCCAGCTCCTCGGGTACTTCTGCACCTTCCGCTGCGCGAAGGCCGCGCGGCCCGCGCTTCCACAGTTGCGAAAGCCCCCCCCTTTCCCCCCCATCTGCCGGGAGCGGGGCGGGGGGTGGGGGGAAGGAAGGTTGGCAGGAAGCCGGGGTCCTGGGGCCTAGAATTTGGGACACAGCGGGAGGCCTCCCGAGGCCCAGGCCCCAACGCCGGGCCGGCTCCGGGCGCTCCACGCGCGTGGGGCCGCGGCCCCGGGACTGGCCGAGCGCAGCGGGGTCGGGCCCTCGCTCGAGGCGAGGCGCGGCGCCCCCCCGCCGGCCCCCCGGCGCCTCGGAGTTAGCGCTCGTCGGCCCGGGCCGGGGGAGGGACAGCAGCAGGTGACGACGGCCGGGCCGCGGGTCTATAAATAGGGGCGCGCGTCAGCCGCGGGCGGGAGCGGCGGCCGGCAGGGCAGGGGCCTGGCGAGTGCGCGCGGCCGGCGGCGGGATGGGGTCGCGCAGGGCCCCCGGGCGCGGCTGGGGCTCGGGCGGGCGGGCCGGGGCGGGGGGCGACGGCGAGGACGACGGGCCGGTGTGGGTCCCCAGCCCGGCCAGCCGCAGCTACCTGCTCAGCGTGAGGCCGGAGACCAGGTGAGTGGCGCGTACCCCCGGGGGGCCCCGGGGCCAGGGGTGGGGTGGGGGGGGGTTCGGCGGGCGGAGGCCGCGGCGACGCTCTCGAGGACACCCTGGCGCCCTCTTCCCGAGGCCTGACAGCTGAGGCCGTGGCCGGGCTCAGTGGCCCTCAGGCCCCTCAAGGCTCCTCCTGACCCCTCAGGGCCTGCGGGGCCTCGGGCCTCTGGCAACGCGAGGCTGGAGAGAGGAGAAGGGCCCAGCTCTGGGGGTGATTTCACAGGGGCCCGAGGCCTTACTTTATCTCCCCTCGTCCCATTGGCACCCTCACCCCATACTCAGCTACTCCCTGGCCTCGGATTCCACAGTGAGCGATAAGGAAAGCCAGAGTGGCTGGAATTCCTCCCCCAGCTGGAAGGGAGGGGGAGAGCATTCACGGGGTAGGGGTAGGGGCAGAGTGGGAGCGGGGGAGTTGGGGAGGGGCGCTAGAGGGACCCCCTCAGTGGGGGCTACTTAGCTCAGGGGGGTGGGGGTGGTGGGGTTCACCAGGAAGAAATAAGGTTCTTATTTTTGTGCAGATAAGGTTCTTCCTCTGGGCCCAGGGCTGTGGTCTTCCCCAGGATCTTTGTGGGGGCTGGTGAGGTGCAGGGGTGGGATGAGGGGCTGGTTGGCCCTGTCTGAAGAATCAGAGCTTGCAGTTCTGAGGGAGCCAAGTGCCCTGCCCAGTTTGGGGGAGTAGGATGCCAAGGGAGGGGCCCAACCGAGGAGCCCCGTACTCGTCTGCCAAGAATTAGAGGTGTGGTTGCTTTGTTTTAGGAGCTAGACTACCCACAGATACAAAGACACACAGATAGTCAACAGAGAGGCCTACAGGCACTCAGAGGCCCCCAGACACCCAGGGACACGTGCACTGCCACGGAGACGGACATTTCCTGCCCCCTCTGGGCAGCTCAGTTTCCCTCCAACTCTGGAGCCTGTTTTCCAAAGGGAATTGTGATGGTTGGCTGTTGGGATAGTGGTTGTGTCCTGGCCCCAGAGCTTGGCTTGTTGTAGCTTATGCGGAAAACAGCCACTCATCTGAGAAGCTGTCTGGGGACCTCTTGTCCTCCATTCCTAAAACAGCACAAAAACAGGCATCAAGGACATTCAGGAAAAGTCCCAGGCACTTCCTCGTGAACTGGCTGAGTTCTGTTGACCTTGGAGTTGGAAAAGTTCAAATGTAACCGGAACCAGTTTCTGCATAAAACTCGTCAAATGGTGTCACATGTCTGGGGCAGGGCTGAGTGCTGGGGTTAGTGACTGAGTCAGACTGGACAAGGCCCCTGGCTTCCCAGGAAAGAATGCCCCTTTCCCCGAATCATTAACTCTATGGAAAAACTGGAATGAACCTTGGGCATTTATTCCGGTCTGTGGTGAAGCTGACTGCCTTGTAGGAGCCTCACACTTGTCTCACACTTGTCACGGCGACTCGCCTGGGCTTTGCCTCCTGCATCTGGCCTTTGTCAATACCAGCGGAACACACAGAAGAGAAGCAGCGATGGAGGGAGGGAAGCGGGGGTGGCTTGAAAACCAGGCAGAATAGGGAACGCAGTGGATCTGGACTGGTGGAGAAAAAGCTGGAGAACGGACAGCTACCTGGCTGAGCTGTTGTATGGTAGATGATTTTTAATTGCCCGCCTGATGAGCACAAAGCCGTGTCCCAGCCTGAGAACTGCCGGCGGGATGGAAGTGGCCAGTCCAAGTCCCCTTGTATCTAAATGCGAATGCTACTTTTCATCAGGCCCTTGGAGGGGGCAGGGCTGGGGCCCCGTTGGGAGAGAGGGCTCCGTTTTGCCCCTGTTGGCGGGCTACAGACCCCCACAGGTCCTCAGGGACAGGAGGGCCGGATTTATCTCACCTCTGGGAAAGCCTCTGGCCAAAGAGGGAAGAATTCGACTGTAAATGGCTGTGATAGGGGTGGGGGTGGGGGCGATTCCCAGTTCCCTAGCAAGGCCTGGCTCTTGAGTTAGAGCGGGCGACCATGCAGTCTTCTGTCCCTCACAACAGCTTGACTGCCTGTGGGGATGGGAAGAAGGCCCAAGAGATGAAGGAGAAAGAGGGTCCCTGGAGGACTTTGCCAGCTGTCCTTGGCTCCAGCCCAGATGAACCTGGCTGTCCCAGAGTCCTGAGTAAGAGGCAGGTCCTTTTCCACTCACTCTTGGCTCCAACATTTTTCTGGGTCTACCTCTATGCACGGAGCTCACAAGGCGTCATTGTCGGGGGCCCAGTGAGGATGGGCTGCCTCTGGGAGCTGATGGACAGCTGGGCTGGGGGCTGGGCCACCGGAAGCCTTGGCCCAGGGCTAGAACCTGGCCCCCTGTGCCTGTCTCCCCTCGCCTAACCCCACGGCCCTGAGGTGGTTTCCAGACTGTAGTCAGCTCAAGGATATTTCCAGTGCCCGTGGGGGTCAGAGGTCCAGCATGCAGATAGTCCCAGCAAACTGTTGGTCCAGCCTCCTAGGACATCCACCCTCTAGGACCTCATCCCTCTAGGAAGGTGGGCCACAGGGACCAGAGTGGGGTAGGGAACTACAGTCGGGTGGACACTCAGAAGTTTCAGAAGTCCCTGCCCCCTCATTTCTTGGAGAGCCTGGCCCACGTGGGCTCAGGGGAGCCGCAGGTCCTGTGATGTTTACTGCAGACAGCTTTGGAAGACCTCTTCTGTTCTGCTTGGGTCAGGCAGGCTGTCTCAGGCTTTCAGGGAAACTGAGTCATCAGGCTGTTCTGCCCCAGAATATATGAAAGCCAGGAAGAATGGAAGACCCTGGCTTCCACAGCCAGTCCTGGCTGCCTCCAGGCTCACTTTCCTGCTTTACCAAGAGACCTTTCCTTCCTGGGCCCTGAATTCCCATTCTGTACAATGAAGGTGGCATTAAGAACTGTTGTAGGCCTTTCTTCACCCACGTTTGATGCCCTCGGATTCTGAGCCCCTTGCAGGCAGCAGAGGGAGACGCTCCTGCCTGGCTGAGGCCCCGAGCCTAGCTTTGGCCCGGACAGCAGGGCACGGATACAGCCCCCACCCGCTGAAGACAAGGTTGCCTTCGTGGCGCAGGGCTCCTCCTGAGCCGGCTGACAGCGGAAGGGTGAGGCCTGGAGGAAACAGGATAGGACGGAGCTGCACAGACAGCTCTAGAGGGAGCCGGGGCAAGGTCACTGTCCCGGCTCAGGGTCTCCTCTACTTGCAGGTGGCACCTGTCATTTTCCTCTTGGAATGAGAGAGCTGATTCTCACCCTCTCCTTCCCAGGGAAGAAATCCAGACCCAACAGAGGAGAGATCTCTCAATTACGAGGAGAAAGGCAAAGGAAGTTCATGGTCAGGAAAGGATGGAGTTGGCCAGTGTCTTGGAACCATGGGAGGTCTGCCCACGCAGCCTCCAGAGGATTTCTAAAAGCTCTGAGCAAGGCAGCTGCATCCTTGCCCTTCCCACCTTCCCTGGAGCAGCAGCTCCCTCTGGGGGGCAGCACCCTTCCTGTTTGAAAGATGCTCTTGCGTACCCTCTCCTTTCTTTCTCTCTCCCTTCCTTAGAACAGCTGTTGGATGCCTGCTGTCTGCTGAGCACTGTGCTGGGAGTAGCAAAGCTACCAAGAAAGTTAGGTCTGAAGGCAGGGCAGACAGTTGTTAGTTGAGCAGAAGGAAGGAGGGAGGGCTTTCTAAGCAGGGAGGCCAGAAGTATGGGCTTAGAGGCCATGTCCATGGCAGTTAGGGACAGGTCTGGTTCCAGTGGAACATGGGTGTTGGGAAGAAGAGAACCATGGTTGTAGTGGGGGTGTGAGCTGAGCCGGGAGGACCTTAAGTGCCCAATTAAGGAGTTGAGACTCAACGGGAGGATTGTCGCATTTTTTTTTTTTTTCAGGGAAGTGGTGTGATACGGGGTTTGAAGGAGAAGGGGGCTGAGGTGGTCATCAGAAATGGAGCCATGGGGTCTAGATCAGGAAAGGGAGAAAGAAGGGCCAAGAATTGTTGACCGGCGAGACTTAGGAGCTGGAGGAGAGGGAGGAGTCCAAAGTGGCAAATTTACAGTTTGGAGTTTGGGAGGATGCTGGAGGTGGCCCAGGAGCCCTGGAGTGGAAGCCGTGTTTTGGGCAGAGGAGGAGTTTGGGGTTTTGGTTATAAAGAGACAGGCTCTCAGTGGAACTTGCTTGTGGTTGGAGATGCAGACACCAGTGTCACAGGGCAGGCTGGGCTACTGGTCACAAAGGGAGAGCTCGCCTGGCAGGGACAGCTGGAGGGGGCCAGGGTAGAGGGGGTGGTCCCAAGGTCTCCCACAGGGCTGTGCCACAGTGCTCCTAGGCTCCCCTGGAGGTGTTCGTGTTAGGAAAGGTGGAGGGAGAGGAAAGTGGGGTGGTGTTCCTGTGTGGGTCCTCCGCCCCCAGTGACCAGTGTCCACTTTGAGCTGCCCCGGGGTAGGAGGGGCGATCAGGGCCTGTAGGCATAGTGGGCCTTGTGCTGGTCTCACCGAGCTGGGTGCCTCCTGGCTCCTGCCGAATTAACTGCTTTGTTTTTCTCCTCTTCTTTTCTCTTCCAGCTGGTTTGCCTTGTGTGGCCCCTTTAACCGTACTTTAACCTATTAATGGGTGTTCTCCAAGCCACCTGTCTCCTTCCCAGCATGTTAGCGGATTTCTAAGAATGGGGGCTCTTCTCCCCCAAAAGGCCGAGGGTTGAAGCAGGAGCTGCTCCCCAGGCTGGTGCGCTGTGGGGTGGGGAAGCGTGCCAGGCAGCCATGAGCCCCTCTCTGGGGGCCAGTGACCCAAGTGCCTGGGACGCATTTTTCTCAAAGTGCAGCCCCAAGGGGCCTCCTTCCTGCCTAACCATCCCCCTGGACTCTGCTGCATTTAATGAGCTCTCGGATTCAGATACCCTGGTGTCTGGTAGTGAGGCCACTTGCTAACCCAAGCAGGCCAACTAAGACAGCTGGCCCCTTTTAATAGAAAGGCCTCCGGGCCCCAGATGGTGGCCAATTAATACTCTGCAGAATGTTGTTGGTTTCGCCTTCTTTCCTTGCTTTTTTGGCCTAATGATTCCATTTGCTGTTTTCGCTTAGCTTATCAAGCAACCGGTTGTCTCACCCCAGCTCTGGAAGGTAAACGCACATTGCATTACATTTCTCTGACTGCTTTTTTTTCCCTTGGGTCTGGGCATTGAAGGGCCTCGGGCTGACAGTTTGTGCACTGACGGGGCTGCATGGGGTGAGGGGAGGGCCGGCGGGTGGTGGCGGGCGGGGGGTGTGAGAGGGCACTCTTGGGAGCACGGGTCTTACAGGGGCCAGAGTTGATGCTTGCATGGACCACTGAAAGGCTTCTGGGGACCCAGAAATAGGCAAGGCTTCCCTAGGTGCACGCTGCTGTGTCTCTGTGCCCCCAGGAGAGGCACCACGGGGCCCGGACAGCGAGCCACCAGGCATGGGCCCCACTTCCCAGTCCGAGGTCTCCACGGTGTTTGTAATCCCATGTCTAGGTTGGACCCCTTATTGTCGATCTTCTGACCAGGGTTCCTGCCTTAAATGGTTTCCCCCTGAGTCCCTTAAGTTCTTCTACCACCTCTTTCTCTAATCCCCCTCTCCTTTGGCTCTCTCCACCCCTGCAGGACTGTGCACTCTTTGAGGTCAGGGAGCACCGTGTTAGCGTTTTCCTGCATTCGCTTGTTCTCTGCACCTGCTTCAGAGGCAGGGTAGGACCCGAGCAGGCCCCGTCAGGGTTCGCCCGTGGAATGCCTGTCTTCTCGCCTCCCAAGCTGGGGACAGCTTTTTACCGTTGGCTGAGCTGACTTTTATAATCAAAGTGGGAACGTTTCCTGGCTGTCTCCCACCACTTGGGCCTCCCACCACTTGGGCCTCCCACCATCTGGTAGATTTGGGGAGAGTTGCCTTCAGTTTCTGTACACAGAGAAAGATTCCTGAGTAGCCAGCTGGTGTCCCAATAGCTAATAATGTCTACAGACACGATTAAGACCTACCATGTACTTTCCCTTGATATAGGAGAGCATTGAGGAACTTTGTTCTGGGTTAGTTCAGGGTCTGGACGGGTGGGAGAGAGGACATCACAGACAATTCAAAGTGGAGTGCTAAGTGCTAAAAGAGAAAGGTCCTTGGAAGTTTATTTAAAGCAAGGTAAAGAACCAAACCTAAGGGCAGAATCCGGTTCCTCTGAACACCACGAAAGCCAGTGATTCTGGTGTTCCTTAGAAACACATGATTAGGTTGTGATCTCCTTATGAAGTCACAGAGTTGGAAAGACTTGGAGGTGTCAGGGTGGGACCAGACCGTTTCCAGATATGTGGACTTCTGGCTTTCTAGGACCCTGGAAGCAGCTATTCACAGTCCGTCGGAGCGGTCTGGAGTGGGGGACAGAAAGCGGGTGACATTCAGTGGACGGCGTATGCAGAGACTGTCCCTGTCTCCTCTCACGCACCCCCACACCCACCTCCCAGAGGGCTTTCGGCTAGCCCTGCCATGATTTTCCCATGTAAACATTTTCTGTAATGCAGCTTAGAACCTAGTGTGGGAAGTTTGAGAAGATGAGTGTTCTTTCCCGTTCAAAATCAGTAAGGACACAAAATGACGACTACCTGTTGCTGAATATCTCGCATGAGCATATAAGAAGTTTCGCTCTTTCCTGGAAATTTCCTGGAAATTTCCTGGAAGCAGAGTTTCCCTCTTTTCTCTTGGGCACCCATTTCCCGTAGTTTATCTCCTTAGATGCGTCCAAGCAGCTTCATCCTTATGAGCCTAAGCTGAATATTGGATCCAGGCTCATGTTCATGAGTAAGATAGAATTCAGGTTATGGAGGGAGGACAGACCGAGGGCTGTTTTGAATTAGCTGCAACGTCATGGAAGTCCAAATCCTTTTGGCACAACAGTTTCCTTTGGCAACTGTTGGTCGGGATTTGGTATGCCCCAAAGTCAGAAATTTGCTCTTAGTGTGAGAGCAGCAAGAAACGTTTTCAGATGTTATGTTCCTGAGTGTCAGGGAATTGAAGGACCGTCTCTTTCGGAGCGGTTAGAGGAAAAGGAAAAGTTGTATGAGAGAGAGGAGTTCTAGATGAGAGCATCACAGGGAGTGTTCTAGAAGCCTGACTGCAGACCCAGTTCAAGCGTTCAGCTGTGTGGGAGGTTAGGGTCCCCTTTCTGGGTAGTCTTTGTCAGGGAGGGCTCCTGTCAACTCCCCGAAGGCCCGGGCATCTGCATTCCTGTGGAGACACCACGCCTGGAGCCCTGTGGGTCCAGAAGTCTTACCTGCTTCCGGACTCTCTTCTTGAGGATAGAACCTTTCTCCTCAAACTCAAGTCCAGAATGACATGCACAGAAATGATGAGTTGAGTGTGGAAGCTCTCCCCACAAAGCACAGGGTTGTAGCTCCTTGTTGCTGTGCTCACACAGACCTTCCCCCTGCCCCCAGTGGAGAGGGCTCGAGCCGACATGCATTGCCTGGGTGACAACCCCTCCTCTGAGGCACAGAGAAAGGCAGACCCTCCCGCTTCTGTTCACTTCTCCCCTCACGGTCCTCACTGCTGCTCACAATGGGCTGTGTGAGTGGGGAGGGCTGGGCACGGCTTGTGCACCAGACAACCTGGCTGTGTGGTTATGCTTCATGCCTAGGGACGCATTGTGTCTCTGCGGGCCCGTGAGAGGGTTTGGCATGGTGGTTTGCTTCCTGTGCCCAGGAAGGAGAGGACTGGACATGCTAAGCAGTGTTGGTGAGTCCGCGCTGGACTCTGTGAGCCTGCAAATGCCCTTGAATTTGGGGAGGCCGACTGTCACAGTGGAACTAAAAGTCCTGGCTTTTGCAGGGATGGATCTGGTTCTGGTTTGGCAGTCGTGCTGGTTGGTCTTGGAGCTGGCAGCCGCGTATTCACTTGTGCATGTGGTGTCCAGGGATGGTCCGGGAGCAGACTCTCTTTTCTGATGCCCCAAGGAATTAGAGTCTACCTTTGGATCCAGATCCCTGGCATTGGCTGGCTTATTCTTTGTCTACTATGGTCTATGCTCATAAATTCGGGGGCATTTCTTTTGAGCCCAAACATTAGGGGAGACCCCTGAACTGCATCTCCTTGAGGGTTAACTGGCTTTTCCCTCTTTGGCATGAATGGAAGCTCTGCTGTTCTGGGGTCTCCATCTCCGAGGCTGGACCTATCCATATGTGTGCCACCGCCATGCACGAGCTTTCCGGGAGATAAATGGTAGAGGGTAAAGCAAGGCCCTCTAATAAGGATGGGAAGGGGACACCAGGGCTGGTGGTTTGGCATGCTTAGGAGCCTGGCCCATGGTCAGAAGACTGCCTATTGGAATGGGTCTGGATCAGGATTCCATTCAGCCTCTCCGTACCATCCCTGCCTCCAACCTGGCCAAGAGATCTGGCTCCCTTGAAGAAAGACTTGCTCAGGTACTGGAGCCATGGCCACGGGATGATGGATGGATATGGTAAGATTTAAGTTGCTTTGGACAACACCAGTCCAAATTGGGCAACACCAGATACCTTGGCAGGGGTAAGGCCACTCTGAAAAGTTCTTTGCCTCTCCTAGGAGCACCTTCTGCTCCATCATTGCTCAGCTAACAGAGGAGACCCAGCCGCTATTCGAGACCACGCTCAAGTCCCGGGCTGTGTCCGAGGACAGTGATGCCAAGTTCACCTGCATCGTCACAGGTAATGAAGCCCCCCTGCACGATCCACACCAGGGTCACTGCACACAGGAGGGTCCCAGGGGGCTGTGGGGACAGGCATGGAAGGGGTTGGCTGTGTGCATAAAACTGTGCAAGTTCACATTTGTTTCCTTAGCTTTCTCTCCAGTTTAATCCCCCTGTGTGGGCTGGCGTCCCTTTCTCCTCCCATTCTGGAACCACATATACACCCTGCTCTTCTTCAAAATCTATCTTCAGGTTCTTAGCTCTCAGGCAAACACAGACGACTAATGAATCTTAGCTGCAAGGAAAGAAGCTCTCCAGTTGAAAAAGGTTTTTGAAGCCGTCTCCCCAAATATCCCCATTTTAGAGTTGAGTGGGTTGACGCTTGGGAGTGTCAAGCCCAAGAGACAGTGATGTCGAGTGATTCTGCCTGCAGACCCTGGAGACAGACTGCCTGGCTGGAATGCTGATCTGTCCCCTTTCCAGTTATGTGATACAGAAGAGGTTGCATAACCTTGCATGACTTTGCAAGCGCCTCATCTGTAAAGTGGGGATGACGATAGTATAAATCTCATAGGATTATTGTGAGACCGAATGCATCAAACCTGCAAAGCATTTGGAATAGTGCCTGGCATACAGTTAGTACCATGTAAGTGTTAGGAATGAAAACAACTATTATTCGCATTTCCCTGAGCTCCATGGTGGGATTTCACAGAACAGGAAGCAGAGTGATACTCCTTTGGGAGCGGATGGTGTGGTGGGAGGACTGGAAAGCTGGTCCTGAGCATGGCCTCTCCTCCAGACCTCCTGTCGCACCAGCCTGACCTGCTAGTGGGCCTGCAGGTCTGCCCCTCCCAGCCGTGCAGCCATCAGACCAAGGGGCCCAGGTCAAGCTTCCCTCCAAGAGCACCCTTTTTTTCCCCCCAGTAAATCAAGGGCATTGGTAGTTTCCAGCTGTGACATGCCCTGATTCTGGGGGACCTGTCTGCCCCAGCCATCTAAACAGCTCCTCTGGGACTGGGTTCCCCCAGGCAGTTCTCACCCTTACCCAGAACCCTCTGAGCTCCAGGCTGAGAACCCCGTCTGTTCCAGGGGATGGCAGACACCTGCCTGTATCCCTTACCTTTGTGTGGCATAACACATTTTGCAATATTTACCTGTTTCCATTGTCATTGGATTCTTATAAAACCTGGTGAAGTAAGTGCTATTATTAGTCAAATTTTACGGAGAAGGAACCCACAATAGTTTAGGTGACTTGCCAAAGTGCACAAAGCTGGTGAGGAGGAGATATTACTTCTCTCTATAGCATCTGAGGCTGCTTGCTTATCCCTGCTTTGTGACTGTGGCACTAACAGTTGTCTGGGAAAACTTGGCTCTTTCACAAATCTGTGCTTACATATGCTATTTTCCCTATAGAGAAAGTCCTTAACCCTTCTTTTTAAAGGAAATTAATTTTTATTTGATCAAATTAACACATATACATAATGTAAGTCTTCAAAGTATACTAATAGGCATGTATCAAAGTACAGCAGTTCACCTCTCCCACCAGTTTGTCTTCCCGGAAGCGACTGTTTTCACCTTTTAACTACTAGTGTGTGCATTTAGCTATTTAATGTATTTATTAGCTATCAGTGTCTACATTTAGCTATTAGTGTATACATTTAGCTGTTTAGTGTATACATTTCCACAATGCTGAGTAATAATGTGACTGTTCTGCCTTCGGCTCAGGTCATGGTCCTGGGTCCTGGGATCGAGCCCCGCATCGGGCTCCCTGCTCAGCGGGAAGCCTGCTTCTCCCTCTCCCTCTGCCCCTGCTTGTGTTCCTGCTCTCCCTATCTCTCTGTCAAATAAATAAATTTAAAAAATCTAAAAAAAAAATAATGTGACTGTTGCTAACTTTTGAGACTTCAGGTTTTCATGCTATCTGGTCTTCCTGTTATGGTGGTTAGGGAATTAGCTCTCTCTATCTTAATTTTCTCTGTTTCTCCTCACTTATGTTCTCAATATAGTTATGTCATAATTTTTGCTTAAATCAACATTTACTGTTTACCTTATTTCTAGGTAATATTATTCATAACTGAAGATTGTAGTATACTATGATTATATTTCTTTCTTCTGTTTTTACTCAAGTTAGTATTTTCTTTAATTTTTCGTTTGTGTGTTTTTGTTTTTTTTTTTTTGCTACCTATTGCTAAATTTTCTTATCCCATCCAATAGCCTCTTACTACAGTTTCCTACAAGGTCACTGTCATCAGTTCTTCTGTCAGCTGCTTTCCTTGGAGACATCTCTCTTGGACATCTCTGTTCTTCTGTCTCAACTGGTGGCCTTTTAGGCCAGATACACAGCTGTTATCCTGAGGTTTCCCTTGCCTTTCTCCTGAGTTTGATTCAGTTTCCTGGATCTCATATGGTCCTTTTTCTTGGTTTATTCTCTGGCTTTACTGAACTACATCCTTCAGTAGTGTCATGAAAAAGACATTCTACCAGACATGGTATGACAGTGGGGGTATTGTGATAACAAGCTCTCCACCTGTCTCTCCTTTGAGCCTTTCAGCCCCAGTGTGATTTAGTTGCTTTCTGCATCTGATGCATGGTTGGCATCTTGGGATCTCCCTTTACCATCATCCTGTGCATTCCCTTTACCTCTCTCCTGTGATGGATTTCCTGGTTTTTATATTCCACATTTTTCTTTTTCTTGATTTACATTCTTGTTTTGGTAGTTTCCTAGGCAGAGTATGTGGGAAGTAAATGTTAGACAACTTCTGTCTGAAAATGTTTTTTTGTTTGTTTGTTTTTTATTCTACTCTTGATGGAGAGTTTGGCTGGGTATAGAATTCTAACTGAAAATAATTATCCTTGAGAATTTTGAAGACATTGCTGCATTGTCTTCTTGCTCCCGATGTTAGTGTTCAGAGCAAGATGACGATTTGACTCCTCATTCTTTGCAGGAGACTGTTTCCCACCCGCCCTCTGGAAGCTTGTAAGAATGTTCTGATATTTCATAATGATGTATTTTGATATAGGTGTCTTTTCATCCTGGGGTGTGCTTAGACTCTTTCAATCTGGTAACCAATGGCCTCTAGGTCTGAGAAATTTGAGACTATTTTGATGTTGGTTTGTTCATCCTGTTTTCTCTCCTCCTTCTTTCTGGAACTCTTGTTATGTGGGTATCTGCTCCCCTGGACTCATTCTCTTATTTTCTTTTCCTTTCTTCCCCTTCTATCTATTTGTCTTTTTGCTCTATTTTCTGGGAGATTTCCTCTGGGTTTTTAATTTCTAAGAGCTCTTAAAAAATTTCTTTTTCAGGGGCACCTGGGTGGCTCAGTTGTTAAGTGTCTGCCTTTGGCTCAGGTCATGGTCCCAGGGTCCTGGGGTCGAGCCCCGCATGGGGCTCCCTGCTCCGCGGGAAGCCTGCTTCTCCCTCTCCCACTCCCCCTGCTTGTGTTCCTTCTCTCCCTGTGTCTCTCTCTGTCAAATAAATAAATAAAATCTTAAAAAAAATTTTTTTTTTCCTGTGTCAATCTGTTCTGCATGAATGTAATATCTTTTCTTAGCTCTCTGAGACTAGTAATGCTAGTTTTCTCAAAGTTTCCTTCTCCCTGAATAGCTTTAGTTCCTTCCAATTTGCTTTTTTTTTTTTTAATTTAATTATTTTGGTCCTTAATCTTCTATGTATACGCTTTTCTCAGACACCTAGGGATCTTTGGGTGTCAGATAATGGTCAAAAAGCTGGTTGTCGGTTCTGAGCAAGCAGAAGGGGCCTGAAAACTTGAGGCTTCGTTGTAGGGTGATCTGGCAACCACTGTTGGAACTGACAAAGCAAGTTTCTTTAATTCCTTCATCTTGGGCTAGCTAGAGTCCCTAGTGAATACTGTTCCCATACCTTGCCTGAAGGGTAAAGATTTTCCAGGAGCTACGCAGATGATAAGGTTGGGTGGGCTCTCATCAGAGAGCATTTATTTTATGCATACAGTTACTACGTTTTTCTGTTTCCCATAGAGTAGTCATGCCCTCAGCTGTGCTGGCTTGCCCTCAGGGTAGTTTTACCTTTCCAGATAATCATCCTCGCCTTTTGACCATGGAGGCGGTGGGGGGGCGGGGGGAGGAGCGTACCTAGTGGCATGGAGGGGGTGAGGGGATCCAGAGATCTGATGGTTTTTCACGAAACTTATAACCTCTCCTCCTTCCCTTTCCCCCAAGTGGTTGCCAGCGATTATGCCTTTTGGGGGATTTTCCAGTGTTCAAAGGGTAACTCTCAATTCCCCCACTGCTACCTTAAGGTTTAGCTGTCCTGGGTCTGCAGAGCCTGTTTCCACTGTCCATCCACTTTCCGACTTTCAAACTGTTGTTCCTCCTATTGCTTGCCTCATCTGTTCTCCCCTCCCTGTGGTTTTACATCTTTTAATTAAAAAATACTCTTTAGAGTACTCGTAGTGGAGAGAGTGAAAACAGGTGATATGCCCATTCTGTCTTTTTACCTAGAAGCCTACTCCTTTGCTGGAAAATTCCTTCTCATCTTTCAAAGCCCAGCGCAAATGTCTTATCCTCTAGGACGTCATCTCCAGCTCTTCCACAGAAATCTCTGGCTTTATCTGTTTCTCTACTCCTCTGGGAAAACTGAGATCTGCGAGGATAGAGCGCAAGCCTGCCACATGGTGCCTTTCTGGAGCAAGCGCAAAGCAGGCGCTCAGTACCTATTTGCCAAATGCCTATTCCTTTAAGCTGCAGCTGCTGCTGGGGCTATGGGCTGCCTGAGAGGGGCAGGCATCAGAGAAGGGCTCCCTTCTCTCTCTCTTCCATTCTACCCTTCGTAGCCATGGACTCTAAGAGTGATGTTGGAGAAGCCAGACAGGAGTCTGACTTACAGAATCTTGGGGCATTTTATTCAATACGTCCAATGTCATTATGAAACTTTGCCCTGTTTTAAGCCCAACCCAAAGGAGCAAACCTTTACCCCTTCAGTTGAGTTAACATCCATGTCTCATGATGACCAACCAGGGCCACAGTCTTCTTTCCGCTCAG